TGGCCTTGAGTAGATCAAAGATTTCAGATATCCCCATATGCAAAAATCCAAAGGATTAAGGTCAGGGGAGCGGGCTGGCCAATTTACATATCCTCCTCGACCTATCCATCGATTGGCATACACCTCATCCAAGTGACGTCTTGCACGTATACTAAAGTGGGCTGGTGCACCGTCGTGCATAAACCATAAACGTTGCCTAATTTGAATGGGAACTTCTTCAAGAATAATAGGTAATTCTTCGAGAAGATGACAATATGAGTCACCATCTAATCGTCGTGGAAGAAAATAGGGACCAATTAAATGATCGTCGATAATTCCGAGCCACACATTTAATGAAAATTGATACTGATGATTTCCTTCAAAAAAGTCATGAGGATTTTCCTCAGCCCAAATATGATTGTTACGAAAATTTCTAATACAGTCTCTTGAGAAATTCGCCTCGTCAGTAAATAAAATATTTCTTAAGAACTGCGGCGCTTGGCCGATCATATTAATAAGCCATTGACAAAAAACCACACGTGGTAAAAAATCTCGAATCAGTAACGACTGCACCCGTTGGAGATGATAGGGATATAACTGTTGTTCTTTTAAAATTCTAAAAACTACCGAATGGCTTACATTTAGGACACGAGCTATTTTCCTGGTACTAGTTTCTGGGGATTCCTCAATTAAATTAAGTACGGCTTCATCGACAGCTTCAGTTCTAACTTCTCGGCTACGGCCACAGTCATGACTTCTCTTTTCAAATTTTCCAAGTTCCCGCAAGCGTTGGTGAATATTTGTGAACGTAGTATGGTGGGGTAATCTACGCTCTGGGTACTGTTCAGCATAAAGTCTTTGCGCTTCCAATGCATTACCGTTAGCATACCCATATGTAAAATGCATATCTGCCATTTCTAAATTCGAATAGTTAACCATATTTTCGGTTTATTAACTAATATTTTCTACACAAAATCATGAAACTTGTGAAATAGTAAGAAACAGTAACAATAAATGACATTGACATTTGTTTCTACGGATTCCATTGTAAAGAACAGGCCACTAGATCTTTCGGCAAAATACACTCGCGTTAAACAGCTCATCTTTTTAAAAATACATTACAATACATTTATTTTTTTTTGTCATAAATCCTTAACTTTTCGAAGAAACTTGAAGAGATCAAAAAGTTAGTAAATGAATGGGGTTTTTTAGACATATTTTTTAAAAGGAAAAAATTTTATCGAAAAAAAAATTATAAGAAAAAATGTCATAGGGGTTGATTATTTCAACCCCTTACAAAAATAGTTCAGGGTTGAAAAAAATTCAAAAAGTGTAGTTTTATTGACAGATAATGTTCACCAAGTTTGGTTTCTTTAGCTTGATGTACGTGGAAGATAAAAAAGAAAAACAATTTTTTTTTGTAATTTTAGGAGGGGCGTAACTTTTCAGGGGAGGGTTTTTTCAAAAAATTTTATACCAAAGACCCCTATTAATTTTCATCGGAGAATCGCCCCTTGAATTTTTTCGGTGTTATTTAGATACACCCTGTATATTTCCAACCATGAAAATTGAATAATTCCAAATATTTCGAATTTTCACCACCAAAAACGGCGGTTACAATATTTTTAGCAGTAAGGCGATGTTTCGTATTATATTAGCTATGTCCTGTCCAAATTTTTCTATTAATAATACAAATTATCTGTTTCATTTTGTTACTTAGGTGTATTTCACTTTATATAACCTATCCATATTGTTGTGGCATACAGAACTACTAAAAATTATTATTATTTCTCTCTTATTACGTTGTTTTAATTACCATTTACAGCTCACCATTTGCAAAACGGCCCGCATAACTAGAACGACGCAATAAAGAGAAACAATGAAACTGAAATTTCGCATTCGCATTACCAAGACGGCCGTTAGAAAAAAGCAGTTGCATAACCCACAGCTCATTTGTAAATTCCCCCATTGTTTCCCGCAAAAACAATAACGATTTCCATAGGAAACCGATAAACCTAAACGGGGACGTTATCGCAAACGGTATGTCGGTATAATTTACGTCCTTGTAGGTAGAGCAAACTCGCCAGAAATATTTATCGTGGTTCGGCCGACATAAACACGTCCGTCCATGTAGGCGACCACCATTGTTGGTTGGGCCGCTGGAGATGCGCCGGTCGTGAGCCAGCTGCCTCTAAATAATAGATACATTAGAGGTGGCCTAGAAACTGCCGCGACGCCTCTGCTTCGCTACTGTTTGGACGAGCGTCAAGTGGTGGTACGGGGTGGACCAAATCTGTTATTGCCCGACGAACAAAGACAGTGACAAATACTAATATCAAAGTCATTGGAACTTGTACCTAGGATTCGTGTAGAGAATAAGACTATAAATGCCTAAACTAAAAAATACTTTAATGTACAGGGTGATTGTTTTTTCATGAGAAATGCGTTTGTCGTTTAAACAGCTGAAGCACTGCCAAAAGTATTTTGTTTTGGTTAACTGGCAATTGAAATTATTAAGATAACGAAACTATAAACGACGCTGGACGCCCCGATCTTTTTTCAGAAGCATACGATTTTTATTACGGATATTGAAAATTTTTTTCATTTCAAGCATTTTTCTCAAATAACTGCATCTTGCATTTATTAAAACTTACAGGCTACTTCTGAGAAACTTGAATTTTTCGTTTGCCAGATTAATCTTCAATTTTATAATAGACGCAAAGCTGGTAGACATTTTTAGGTAGTTGTTTTAGGCACCGCGAAGAATTGTTCAAAACTTCTTCTAGTGACACCTGAATACGAAAATACAGACCATTAAATTTTTAAAGGAGCTAATTTTTTTTTGCAAAAATATTCTTGAGGCACCAAGCATTTCTTTTAAAAGTGGTAAGAGAACTTTTTGCTGTAGAATAAACCGCAATGTAAAAAATATATATTCATTTTGGAAAATTTCCACTGATTTCCGTAGAAATTAAATTAAAAATAAGGGTTATCAAAACCTCTTACGGGGGCATCTATGATTGGTCTATTTTCACAGTAATTTGTAAAATCGATAGAGCTTTTCATTCGTTCACTTCATACTTAACATAAAACAAAATGGCTTTCATAGTTTAAGAAAAAATAAATAAAAACCAAAACAAATTTTTTTTCAAGAGCTTATCTCTGAAAGGAAGCTTTTGCAGGAAAAAGTGTATACTTCAAAATGACATTATTTTGACGAGATTTATCGATGATTAAAGTCCTAATCATAAATAGTGAATCACCCCGTATATAATTACATTCTCACTCACCTGGCAGGTAAAATGTCCCACCGAAACGACCTCTGTTTTTGTAAATATCTATTTTTAGTCACAAATATTATCCTGTAAAAATTTCAAGGTGCCTCAAGAATATTTTTTGCAAAAAAAATTTTGCTTCTTTAAAAATTTAAGGGTCATTTAAGTCCCGCAACCCTTCAGCCAGGTCTGCATTTTCATAATCAGGTCTAAAGAAGTTTTAAACAATTTTTCACAGTGCCTCAAATATCTACCCAAAAATGTTTACCAGCTCTTGGACTATAAGATCAGATGGGCCTAATTTGGTACCGAAAATTATTGACAATTTTAAACAATATACAGGGTGATTCAGTCATAATGTCATTAATTATAAGGGAAGATAGGGAAAAATGAGTAGAATACGAATATGTGATTAAGAAAAAAAAGGTTATGCAGTCAAGAAAACTGAGACGTTTATAATTCAATGAGCAAATTCTGGACGATTTTATAATACTGTGGGGTATGGAGCTCTTGGGGTTTATTTTTATGGTTGGTTCTTTTTTGTTTTATTTGTACTAATAATTTTTTTTTCAGACCATTTGGAGTCCCTTGGATCCGCGCCTATTGCTGACCAATAAAGGTTTATCGAGAGTGAATCTTGATCTACCGTGTTCGGTCAGTAATCTAGCTTTTAATGACTTTTTAATCCCTTGTGAACAGCAACGAACAAACAGAACATATTTTTTTAATAATAATGTAATAAAAACAAATGTATAAGCATAATAATTATTGTTTTCGAATGTTAGGCGAGTATTTTTTTAATTTTAGTATTTAGTATTTTTAATATTGTTAACGTTTTCACTATGTTTCATAATTGAGTTCTTATTATTATGTTTATAGTACTATACAGGGTGATTCAGAACTTATCCAAAAAAAAATTATGAAAAATCAAAAAGGGCAGTTCGAAAATGATTTAAAAATACACTTCTGCACGGCACTGGAAACTGGTCCACTGTAAAACCTGACCTCGCACAATGCGACCGGCATGGCGGTGTGATAAAAAACGGACAAAAAACCTTCGAAAGATATAAATAGAATTTTATAGCATCTATTTTATATCGGCAAATTCAACTGTTTTTACCTTTATTGATATTATAAATTAATAAAATTAATTTGTGTTTTTAAATAATAAAATCATTTGACATACCCCACGTTACAACAATTGTTCAAAATTTTATCCACCAACGTGTAAGCTCATTTGGGTCCGTCCTACTCAGTTTCCACGAACTAACACAAATGATGTCTCGTTTCACTATAACACAATTGCTTCACCATAATACAAATGTTGACTTGCTTCACCATAAATTAAAACGATATCCATCAACTCCGAGTTGCTATGTACGTAAACCATTTTTGACACTAACTACTAAAAAACTATTGTAAACACCATAGATAACAGGTACACACTATCGCAAGGACGATTGCAAAATTGGATTTCAGTATTCGGAGTTGCTGGCCACGTGGCTCTCCACGCGTATTGCGAATGACGCTAGAGACTACAGTTGTCCAGCTATGTAGTGGTTGAATGTATTATAACTTCAATAATTTTTTTCTCGGAAACTGTAAACATTTTACAACATTTTTTTCTACGATATTGACTCCATTTCTTATGCCGCATCTATTCCCAAATTTTTTTGGATAAGTTGTGAGTCACACTGTAAGTACTACAAACTTATTGTGTGTTTCAAAGAATAATATGGTACCTACCAATTTAAAATGCCAGTACGACTAAAACAACACTTATCCGTCCAAAGCACTTTGTTAATAAAATGATGATCCCTAAACTTTGATTTTGAACCAACTGCAGACTACTGGGGAAATCAGCTGTTTCGCTTCAACGGTCAAACGCTCTGGGGTGCGCAGGCACGTTCCCAGTCTGTAAATGTAAAGCAAATTAGGGCACCGAATCAACGGGAGTTGAGGGGTAATTTTTAATTTTTTTTTAAAGGGCGAGTACACATTTTTTTGTCGATTTTCTGTCTATTAGGCTTTCCGAATACGTGGTTAAAATTAATGGCATTATTATTGAATCACCCTGTATTTATTTACATAATATTGCAATTAGATAAGTTATCCGATTATCCTTTTAATTAAATTTCAGAAGGTACATAATTTTCAGACTTTTCAAGAAAAAAATACGTACAGCATAAGCGAATTTTTTTTTTATAAACCATTAATTTATTAATTAATTATTAATTATTAACAATTAATGTATTTTGTATTCAAAAAATGTTAGTTTACATTGAACAAGACATATTTCTAATAAATTTATGTCAGTTACGTCTTAAAATATGTATAGTAGGATCATATTCGATGCAAAGTAATAAATCATTGCCTGTCAAGTGATCCATTGCCGTACGCTTTTACGGGTTTTAGAAATTGAATAATTTCTTTATACATTCTGAAGGGCCGAATGGATCAGTTCACGTCTGGCACCCTTGTTCCTACAAAAATTCCTTTATTCTCATAAACTATTTATTTTAAATGTAATTTAATATAAAACCAATTTGTCTTTTAATTTAAACATATGTACTACATTTTACCGCTGTACGCGCCACTGTTTACTTGGTTTTTGGAGGCGCTCTCTGTTTTACGATCAAGCTCGCCAGGTTAGTATTTGACGTATAACCGACCACTTCGTACACTCGATGTTCCTGGGCGACTACAGAATACAGTGCGTATGCAGCGGTATTTCAGATTTAACATTGAATTTCATTTTAAATTTGAAATGGTTCATCTTACGCCTCCTAAAAATGATGACACGATATTCCTTTGATAAAAGACCGACAACTTTTTGCTCTACTTTGCATCGAATACGAACCTACTTATAGATTAAAAATCAAATACAGGGTGTTCGGAAACTAAACCGATAAAGATAGTAAATTCTAGGGATGATTTCATATCGATTTGACATCAATCGTCTTATCCAAAAATATTTCCTAAGAGAGGTAGGGCTCTTTGAAGATGGCCCTTTGACATTATTTTTTTTTTGTTCAGATCGCTATTTATCTAGAAGGATCAAACTTAGGTTCCGTGTTAACTCTTACACGGACAGCCTATTGATCTAAAAATGATCTTTTAATTGTAACCGCAGGCGTCGCATTTGGGGGGTCAACTGATATTTTCAAATACATTTTTTTATCTTCGATTTTTTTATATTTTTCAATATCAAAATCAAAAAATATTCCAGGTTAAAGAGGTGCTCTTGTCTTGAGTGGCTAGAGTGTACCGTATGTGACAAAAATCTATTTGACATGTTTGTGTTTTTTTTGTACGATAATTACAATATTCTTTCCTAATATTTGGTAGTTGGCTTTGGAAAACAGATGAAGTAAGATTGTATAAAATTTTGGAATTTTGTATTAAGTAATATCATAAACTGGCAAAAATTATAACAAAATGACGATTAACAAAAACAAATAAACTTTAATCTATAAAAGATGCTTACCGACCAAAATTGAATTTTATTCGCATAAACAGAACAATACACGAAACAAGAAGGTTCTCCAAAGCCCAAACATCCCCGTTATCCATCAGCTTCATCTTCCTCATCGGGAGCTGTCCCTGTTCGTCGGCGAATTGCTCCATTTATAATTTCTAGGTTTTTGCTAAAACGTATTTCCCTGGGGCCAGATTAATCGGTGATTTATCGCCCGATGCATTATCGCGGACAGCATCGCCCACTGCGATTGTTATGAAATTTATGGCTGGAACGTCGAGAGTAGATAACATTGAATACAATAACAATCACTTTTGTCAAAAACGCTACGGATGATGGATGGGTATCTACGAATAATCCAATGTTTACCTAGAAGGTTTATGGTGCCATTAAAACGGATTGCCTCGACGCCCATACAGCGCGATAATTTTACAACCGCCGCGATTAAAAATAAACTCGGATATTTTTATTACGGGGGCCTACTTGGATGTCGTAATCCGAGTAAAAGCGATAATAAAATAGGAAATAGGTGTTAACGCATTCTGTAGATAACGACGGGCGAACTTTTATTGAGTCCGAAGAGCAATATACACGGAGAAAACAGTGTCTTATAATTATATACCTTTTAAGACAATCTTAGACTCGATATTCGATATACTAAGAACATATAATTATCGTAAATGTGAGTTTACCATTGGAAATTATATTATATTAAGTGGATAAAAGGCAATTAAAACACAAATGCAATACAGAGTTTTATCCATACTCACGTCACAATCATATTTGTGGAGTATTATTGGAATTTAATAAAAAAATATTCGCACCACTTGATATTTCTTTCAACGAAACGTGGAAGGTTTTGTTATACATACTGGTTGCTATGGTACGTTGTTTATTATCAAAATGCAAAAAAGTAAGTTTTTACTGGGGTTTCCGATAAAGAATATTTAATGAGTGATAAGTAATTTTTAGTGACTAGTTAGTAGGTAATGACTAATTACAGTCACTAAAATTCTGATATAAATTTAATTAGAGTTTAAAATATTACTAAGAATCTATGCGTTGTTTATGAGACATCCATCAATAAATTTTGACTTAAGCCTACTTTGAGAAAAGTCAATTTATTTTATACACCGTAATATTATAAGAGTTTAATTAAAACCCTTTTTTCTCGAAAACCGTCCACATTAGGAAGTTCTAACAAGAGTACATTATTTTTAGAAAATAAAATTGTACATTAGAAATTGGAGCCCGAATGGTAAAAAACATATCCTTAAAAAAATTGGAAACATTCCTATTACATTTTAGTGCCCTCAATGAAATATCCAAAAAATAATTAGATCGGCGTATTTATCATCATTAAAAACCCAGGAATCCCAAATTTCATAAAAATATTTCGCACCGTTTGGAAATTTTCGTAAAAATTCTATTTAAAAAATTTTATTTTGTCGCTCTGTATCTCGAAAACAAGAGGAGATAGACATACATATATTTCATAAGACAAAAAATTCTTACTATTTGTCGTACTATCACCCTCTGTATTTACGGGAGGTCTATCTGAAACACCCTGTATATTTCACCCTTATGAGTTCAGTTACAAGAAGTAGTCACATTTTTAACATTTTTATTTAATGTGTAAAGTTGCTGTATTACGAATGATAATTTTGTAGCAAAATTTATATATTTCACCTTAATATTAATAGAATGTCCAAATTGAGACTTTTCAATATTATGGAACACTAAAAATGGTATTATTACGTAATTGCATAACTGTAGAAAAATCATGTTTCGATATTAATATTCTATTTCTTCCTAATTCCAAATCAACAATTAAACAGTAGTGAAAACAATATTTTTGATATTATATACTATGGGAATTTAAACACATATTTTTCTAAATGACTACTTTTCTTCTCTTTTTAACAAACGCCTAACATTATAGCAAAAATATCAGCTGAACTTATATTATTAACCATAATGAGCTAAATCAAAACATCAGTGAAACTTTTACTAAACAAAACGATCTTATAATTACGTTTTTGAGAGTTATTGTTATTGCGTGTTTTTATGATGCTAATTTTTTATGGGACTGTAAATTAATACGAAGAGGATAAAAGACGGAAATTCCTTTACGGATCTGCGTCCATACTCATTTATTATGTTGTCCAAAGTAAGCTGATACTTTAATGCAATCATGCGTTGATAAATCATATAAATATGATACGTTAGAAGATTAGTACTGGACAAGGCTGGCTTTGCGGTTGAGGCTAAACTAGGGAAATGCTATTACGGAAATCAGATCCTTGGTATTCAATGAAATAAGCATTTTCTTTTTTATTTCCCATATTTGATATACTAAGGGATTAAATAAAACACCTAAAATCCTTTTTTATTTGCATTTTAGTGTATTTTAGATTTTCACTTAACCGGTTAGCGACTAGTATTGGTCATTGATGGAACTGTAACATAAAATATGTCAGAAGTGCCAACGTAATAAAGTAGAAGTTCCTAAATTTAAAGCTTTCAGTAAAAACATAATTCTTCCTTCACTTTAACTGTACAAACAGTAAGTATGTTGTTTGCTGACTTTTTTTAAATTTCAAACTATTATTTTTCGTCCTCAAATACTTTAAGGCCTCTATTACTTCACGCCCCCTATGATCTAATGAGTCAATGGTCGTGAAGTGGAAGTGGATGTGAAATAATTGAGACCGTGAACTATTTAGTGACATAAAATTATGTAACATTTAAAAGAAATAACAAATAAAGATACTAATTAACGACTCGCTATCAAATTTTATTAATATATCCACAATCTCCTCATATCACCTTTTATCCACACGTGAACCGTCTAAAGTGATACTTTATCCATTAGTGGAATAAAGTAACTTTATTTCACTATAGTCTGTTTAGAAATGAAAGAGAGTAATAAAGCTTATTATGTATGCAAATAGTAAATAAATGTAGTACTGGTGCTTATATTAAATATTTTTATATTATGTATTTTCCGTATAGATGAGGTGTACTTTTAAAAAAACTTAAAATAAAATTATTCAATATTTCAATTTTGTTTCAAAAGGAATGTTGTTTCCGGATAACCATTGAATTATATCGGCTTTCCTCCAAGCAGTCATAGGCGTCCGCTCGGTCTGCCGTGAATGGTAACTGGCATTATCCATGACAATTACAGACCCCGGAGGAATAAGATCGATAACTTTATCGATAAGAACTGACTTCCTGTTCTGCATTTCCAAGCAAAAATTGAACTCTCGTAAGACGGCCCATAATTTGCTTCTACTGATTTTTAGCAAATCGTTGTCCTCTAAAAGATCACTTAAAATTTTGTTTAGCGTTGGGATTTCTTTTTTAAAATAAAATGAGTGTACTTTTCTGCGAATGACATTTTTGAAGAAATCATCTGTAACG